AGAAACAATTAGAAACAGCTAATCACCTCTCAACAAAGGATTCCCCCAGGCAGTAAGAAGTCACACCTTAAAAACTGCTAGGCCATTAATTGCTAATCAAGGTGGCCAGTTGAAACATTCACACCTACCTCCAACAGACAAGAGTTCTTTCTCCCACCCTGGACCTTCCACAGATACATAAACCCAATTTTCCTACTTTCCAACAGATCTCATAACCTCTGAGGATGCCTGCCATAGATGTGAGCAAAATGTCAGGAGAGAATGGTTCTGGAACATGGCCATACAGCCTAATTTACAGAAGCCCATTGCTGTTTTATTTTTATTAATCTGTAAACCTTCTAGATCTCCATAGTTCTTTAAAACCCGTATTAAAATCTCTGCACCATTGAATTATTATTCCAAAAAAATGACCAGATTTGTTTATTATTTTTAATTTCTTATAACACTATTCAAAATCTCTAAATACAATATGAAAAGCACAGATGAGAGAAGACAAATTTGTCTTGTTCCTTTTTTTGTATCATAAAATTTGGTAGTTTCTCCATTAACCAAAATCAACTCTACCCTTGTAATAAAATTCATATATACATATTGTATTTTCTCATAACTGTCTTTTAGGTAGAAAACCAGACTGGACCTCACACATTAATTGCAAGTCTACTCCATCCAAATAACCATATACAACATCAGTATAATTTTTGGGGAAAAAAGCCACAACTTTATTGGATGCAGCTAACACCGCACACTGCACACCGCACTTATATCATAATCACACACCCCTCCGATACATCAGCACTTTTAACCTTGTACTCCTACTCCGGCCGACTCAGTTTTTAATAATGTCTTGTCATACTGCTGTTGTTATTGTTTTTCTGCTTAACTGTTTTTATTTGCTAGATATTGTATTGTTGTATTGTGTTGGGCTTCGGCCTATTGTGAGCCGCATCGAATCCTTCGGGAGATGCTAGTGGGGTACAAATAAAGTAATAATAATAATAATAATAATAATAATAATAATAATAATAATAATGGGGTTGGACACACATATGGGCAGAATTGATGCCTGCCATAGATGCAGGCAAAATGTCAGCAGATAATGCTTCTGGAACATGGCCATGTAGCCCAGAAAACTCATAGCAACCCAGTGATTCCGGCCATGAAAGCCTTCGACAATACATAAAACAGCAATGTTTATTCAAAATATGAGCAAAGATTATGAAAAAGGATTAATAGGCAAGACTGATTTTATAATAGAGAGTAGATATTTGAGGACTATGATCAAATCAAAATTCTAAGCTGTTCCAAAAAACGGTTAAAATTTGGAATGGACTCAAACAAGGTTTGAAAAAAAATGGAGTAAAGCGAGATTATCACTGATGGGAAGAATTTCAGTAATTAAGGTGAATGTTTTGTCTGAAATGTTATGTCTGTTTTGGATGCTACCAATTTTGACTAATTACATACCATTTATGTAATTACAAAGAGGTTTTTCTGACTTTGGCAAGGTTAGATGCCTAGAGTTAAATTTAAAATACTCCAAGATACAAAAAAGAGGAGGTTTGGGACTTCCATATCTGAAACTATACTTCATTGATGGCTTGGATAAAAAAAAAAAAACCTGGATGAATTTGGGGAAAAAGATTTACAATTGGAAGGTCTTCACCTGAAGTTTGGATAGCATGGGAATCAACTATATTAGACAACCTCTATTAAGGATATGGAATATATATAATATAAGATTGTCCAAAATTGCCATTATGGATATAATCCAATGAAGCTTCTTTTAAAAGAGTAATTAAATCTATAGATACATGGATAACACATAAAAATTAGCCTGCAATGGGAAAAGGTACATAAGAATGAGAATAATGGAAGAACTAGAAATGAAGGGTATAAACCACACTGGCATTCATATAGACAGCTTGCTGAGAGGTTTAAAATAGGTTGAACCAAGTAAATTGGAGTTTGAAAATCAGTTGTGTACGGATGACGAACATTTAATTATGAAGATATGTAAATTATTGTTGGAAATAGAAATTGAGGATGAACAAGAAATTGTTTTGTTAAATAGATGATAGTTCATTAGAAATATATGTCAAAATATATAAAAACAATGCCAATAATGGCTGGAAATGTATTGATAAAGAAGGTATATCTTATCACCTATGGAATATGTGATAAAGCAAAAAAAAAAAAAAACTGGAGAGAAATCTATCCCTTAATGGAGGACATTTTTAAACTCCATCTGTAACCAGAACTTTTCTTGCTGGGACTGATAGACCATCGCCTATTGAAATTGTGCAGTATATCATTAGAGGTGCCGAACTACTTTATGCACAGAAATTGATAAATTGATGATGCTAATTAAACAGAAATGATAAACTAACTTTGAACAAGATTGAAAAACAATTTCATTTCAAAGAAACTACTGGGGGAGATTATTAGTATTTTGGTTTGAAGAAAAGTAGAGGTCACATATAATTAGAAAAATGCTTAGACTAAACTGAATAATTAAGAAAGTTATGGGTGCAAATATTACCATCAGCAGCAGGCTTTAGCCAGAAAAAATATCAGGAAATATGTGTGTGTGTTTGAAACAATTTTCAATTTTTAGCAAATCACAAAGAGTAGGTCCATAACATAAAATAATTTAAATTCTATGACTAATTCTATATTTTATATAGACGTAATCAAATCACATTTCTATTTTAGCTACAAAAGTTGAAATCTTGAAAAAAACTGAAACTGGCTCTTAATTGGTAATTTAGTTGTTATAAAAGAATAGCACAACACCTATTGGAAACACTTGAAAACTGTGTCAAAACGCTGTGACAGATTCTGATATCAGTTTTGGTGGCTTATATTGCCTTAACGTCGAAAATGTTAATTAAACATCAGTGACGCCAAAACTTGGCTGCTTCCACTATGTTGGCTATTGCAGCTTTTGCTACATAAATTGGTGGAAAGCTAGATAATGGTAGTGTTAATAAATTACCAATGTTTGGTTGAGATAGTACTAGCAGTTCTGGAGGAACTATAATTTTTTCTTATCATAGACAGCATGAGGATTTGCTTAACCAGTTAAAATTCATGAGTAAACCAGATTGTTTTTAACCAGAAACCTTTCCCGGGGGTTGGGGGGTTGAACCTGTACTCCCTCCCCCCCAGCTTGGCTACAGGCTTGTTCATCAGGGTAGCTGGAAGTCATGTCTTACTCCCTTTCTTATTTTGTTGGGTTTTTAATGTCCTAATTGTTAGTATGTAGTGTAGTTTTGTTTAGATACTGCTTTTTTATATGGTTACTTTGTTGCATTTTTCCTAATATGTAGTTTAATATCATATGTAAGATTTTATTTGTATTCATCTTTGTTTATTAAAGATACTACTTAAAAATATGGGAGCCCCCGGTGGCACAGTGGGTTAAAGTGCTGAGCTGCTGAGCTTGTTGACCAAAAGGTCGCAGGTTCGATTCTGGGGAGCGACGTGAGCTTCCGCTGTCAGCCCTAGCTTCTGCCAGCCTAGCAGTTCAAAAACATGCAAATGTGAGTAGATCACATTACCTTCCGCTGCCAGCCCTAGCTTCTGCCAGCCTAGCAGTTCAAAAACATGCAAATGTGAGTAGATCACATTACCTTCCGCTGTCAGCCCTAGCTTCTGCCAGCCTAGCAGTTCAAAAACATGCAAATGTGAGTAGATCACTGTTACCTTCCCAGCGGGAAGGTAACGGTGCTCCATGCAGTCATGCCAGCCACATGACCTTGGAGGTGTCTATGGACAATGCCGGCTTTTCAGCTTAGAAATGGAGATGGGCACCACACCCCAGAGTTTGACATGACTGGTCTTAATGTCAGGGGACAACCTTTACCTTTTTTTACCATTTAGAAACGTGTTGGTTGTGCAGCCAGTTCTGTGATTAATGTACTTAAACTTTAGAAACACTTATCAAATACATCTTTGTGCTTTCAAAGAAAACTTTGTGTGTGTGTGTGTGTGTATTAAAAGGTGTTCTTTGAAGATGTGCAAAGGAATCTTGAGAAAATAACAGCATGGGAATACTAGCTTGGTTCTCTGCCTCTCAGGGGCTCATTTATTTTCTGTGCTCTGTTGGCAAAAAAACAAAACAGCCTTGCAGCTTTAAAGTTGATTTGGCTTTGCAGATCAGCTGGATAAGTCAGCTAGGTCAGTGATTCATATAGCAGAATGCCCTTGTGCAATACAAATTGAGCACAGTTTTGGAGTAATTATAGCCATACGGTGTTGGGTAGTATCCTGACATTATTGAGAGGTTAGTTTGTCATTTTGGGTGACTTCCGTAGGTTCCACAGTAAAGAAAATATAGTATTTGGCTTTAACAGAATGAGTTAATTTTATTCTCATCATCATGAGAATTCTCGGAGGGAATTGTGCCTTGCCTTGGCTCCAGTGTTATTTCCAATAAATATGGAAATAATGTCTCGCAGTGCTGCAACCTGTTTGGAGATCTCGTGGGAAATATCACAAGATTACGTGATGAGTGTGAAATTAATCCATGGCTCCATTACATTTGCACAGTATTGTTTCTGTGCCTGTTACAGGGAATGGTAAATACCTTCATCCAAAATTGGTAACAGGACTAGAAGCATGGTATTTCTGCTACAAGTAATGTATTTATTTATATTAATCATGCTGTAGAAACATAGCTTTATAATATTCTTGGACAACACACAAGAATATGCTGGTTGTTTGTGTGTTTCTGCTGCTTTGTGACCTCATTGGTCAGGTTTCTTGAATTTCTGTTACTTAACACTGTTTCTGATATTCATCTTTGCTTGTTACTTCAAATAACAACATTGTTTGATACTGTTTTAAATAATAAATGAATAAGGGCTAGGAGAAGTAAAAAGAAGATATCGATTCTTATAGAACTGTGTGCTTCCAGGTGTCGTTTTCTATTTCTTTGTTTGTATTTTTACCTAAAATGCTCTGGAGACTTTTCTTAAGAACTGTTCTTTTCATTACAGGAATCTTGCATGGATCTCTTTCCTGAGTACAAAAACTGCATTTGTTTTAAGGACGCCATTGAAAAGTAAGTGGTTAGAATTACTCTTTTTGTCAATGTTTTCCAATGTTTTTAACCATTCTTAAATCATTGATTATAATACAAATATGTTACTACCATGACTTCACCATCACAATGAAATGTGTAGGTTTTCTGAATCCCTGTCAGCGCAGATGTGGGAAGTATGTCACTTTCTGTCATTTCACAGAAAATGAACTTTCTCATTTAACAACAACCACAACCAATGGAATCTAAAATACACATGGCTAATGAAGTTATTTTTAAAATAGCTGGGTAATTCTTATTAAGCGTGCTGGATTTAACCAGAAACTGGACAATATGTGGTGATTGGATGAACACTTTACAGCTTGATTTGTGATGCAGTTCCTAAATAATTGCAAAAGTGGTTTTTCAGGATAGCAGTATACACTTACCTGTATTTAGTTGTGCCACAAATAATGCTGCATGCTAACAATAATAGCAAAGTGGATTTTTTTCTTTTTTGTTCCCAATTCTGTGTAGACAAAAGCATGTTTTTCAGCAAAGCTATAAGAGTTGGAAGTGACCTAGGATGTCATCTTAGTTTATTCCAATCCAATATATTTTTGCCTTCAGGATTTTAAAACTGCAGTCTCCAAGGCAGGCTGTGTATAATTTGCTTTCACAGAGGTTGAAGTCTGCTTGAAAAGAAATGAAGAGCATTTTGAATTGCATTGATATAAACATTATGTGTGTGTGACTTTGCTGTAATGGGTTCTGGTTCCATTTGATCTGCTGTATGGGGTTGTATCGCTCACATGTTTGCAAATATAGAAAAGAACTCTGGAGTATTATTCAGAGCAGAAAGGAAGCAAAAAGAAAACAAAAAGGATGGAAGCAGCGGCCTCCTTGGAAAGGTTGCAAGAGCTGGATATTTTTAGTTGATGACAGCTTTCAGATGCCTTTAGGCTTCTACAAGGAAGAGGAAGACCAAATGTGCCAAAAGGCCATGAAACAGATTCAGAGTGGTAGTAAGAAAATGCTGCAACAACAACAACAAAAAACTCAGAACATATTATTCAAGGCTGCAAAAGGGAAGGATCAAAAGAGAAAGCATAACAAAGGTTTGTTTTTCGGTTTTGATTGTTTTCATAGTTGTCTGAATAGATGAAGACAAGCATTTAAGAGTAGACTTCATTATGTATTTTCACTATAGGTATTTGATTCTATATCTGCATTTTGAATGGTATATTCAAAACACTTAAGAGTTATAATTGTGTTATTGATGTGAAACACTTGAGAGTTATAATTGAGTTGTTGATGTGATGTGTGTATGTATTTTTTACTAGTCATTGCAGTCCTGTCTTTCCCTCCCAATTCTTATTGTCCACCTAAAGCTGGTGGTTGCCTATTTCTTGCATTTCAAGTTGAATACAGACATCTACTTTGCATTTACATCCACAGTAGAACAGATCTAGCTAGTCATCAAACTGGTGATGAAATGACAGATTGGTTCAATGAGATGAATTTATTTAGTGTCATAAAAATAGCATATTGCTCCTTATTTCATTAGTTGTATATATACTGGAGGAAAATTCGAAGAAAATTTGTGCCTTGGACTGTGAGAAGATCCAGCCAGTCCACACTTCAGGAAATAATGCTTGGCTCCTCATTGGAGAGAAGGATATTAGAGGCAAAGTTGAAGTACTTTGGCCACATTATGAGAAGTCAGGAAAGTTTAGAGAAGACAATTATGCTGAGGAAAATGGAAGAAAAGAGGAAGAGGGGGCAACCAAGGGCAAGATTGATGCATGTATCCTTGAAGTGTTTGGCTTGACTCTGAAGAAGCTGGGGGTGGCGATGGTCGACAGGGAACTCTGGTCCATGAAGTCATGAAGAGTCAGAAGCAACTGAACAAATAAACAACAACATTTTTACTGTTAGGTAGATGGAAATGTTCTTTCATCCACCACTGTGATGGAAGTCTTCTCCAGGGTGGCATTGCTGTTCTATCCCTGTCAGTCACCATTCCTGCTTTCCTGGCAAAGATCCCCCTCTTCATGTGGTACTCAGGCCTCAAAGTGATGCTAATTGGGTTCAACATGACAAGCATGGCCCGTTCAATTCTTAAATGAAAACAGGCTCAAAGTGTAGAAAATCAGGCATGTGAAAGATTGATTATATAAGAATGAGTTTAGATGTGAACTCCTTAAACTTATTCCAAACAGGTATAGGGTCACAGCCTGTGCTGGATGGGGCTACACTCCCCTTGAAGGCACAGGTTCACAGCTTGGGGGTCCTCCTGGTCTCATCGCTGTGCCTGGAATCCAGGGGAGCTTTCACACAACTAAAACTTGTGTGCCAGCTGTGCCCATACCTTGGGAAGTCAGACTTGGCCACAGTGGTCCATGCTCTCATTACATTTGGGATAGACTACTGCAACACACTCTATGTGGGGTTGCCTTTGAAGACTGCTCAGAAGCTTCAAATAGTCCAATGAGAGGCAGCCAGGTTAATAATTGGGGTGGCATACAGGAGCAAACAACTCCCATGATACACCAGCTCTATTGGCTACCAGTTTGCTACTGGGCACAATTCAAAGTGCTGATTTTGGCCTATAAAGCCCTAAACAGCCCCGGCCCAATTTACCTGTCCAAACGCATCTCCCCCTATGAACCATCGTGGAGATTAAGATCCTCAGGGGAGGCACTGCTTTTCATCCCGCCATTGTCACAGGCACAATTGATAGGGATGAGAGACAGGGCCGTCTTGGTGATTGCCCCTCAGCTATGGAACTGGGGACAGTTTTTGGGACAGGGCAATAAAGCAGCAATAGGAAAGATTACCAGGCCAATTAGATTTGACGCTGATGACCAGGACGGTTTTAAATGGTGTATTTTAATATTGAGATAAATGTTTTAATGTTTTTGTATGCGTATATGAAATCTTGTCCCGACATTGAATGTTTGCCGTATATATGCTGTACTCTGTCCTGAGTCCCCTTCGGAGTGAGAAGGGCGGGATATAAATGTTTTAAATAAATAAATAAGAAATAATTCCTCATTCATGGCTCCTAAAACGCACTTGAGTTCTTATCACTTCCCCTCTTCCTAACTGGATTTCACTCTGGCTCTGTCTTCCATAACCAGGCTTCATCCATCTCCTATTTTATTCTTCAAGAAACAAGCCTCTAGGTTATATTCTCCATAGGCTCCCCTTCGCAGTGTTCTGACAGCTACGATTGGCTGACTCTAATCCAGTTTGGCCAGCTTCTCATTTCGTACTCACTATGCCACTTTGTACATAAATAGGAAGGGTGGGAATGAATAAACATTGTTTCTTGCCTTATGCGTAGCTCATGAGGCTTCACGAAACAGGCGTCAAAGGGGTTCAGGAACAATGTAGCTTTGCAAGCCTTAAGAATGATAGCCCAAGCAGGTAACTAAGGTAACCTTCATGTCCGTAGCTTGTTGGGTTATTTCTTTGCCATCAAAATCCTTTGCTTCTAGTTGCAGACTGTGATATTGTGTCTTCTCTTCGTTATAGCTTACCAGGAGGGAGAGCCAGCTTTTCCTTGTGAGCCTTAGTTCATACCAGCATCATCATGTTGTATTTCTGGGGGTCCAGAGACTGTTGCTGAGGTGATTACACGGGATGTCATTGTCAGCGTGATTACAAGGTCAATGTGTCAGCTCATTATTAAAGGAAATTATGTATAATGAGCAAAAAGCCCATGGTGAGCCTTCTTTCACAGACCTTGGCTAGGATCCAAAGAAGCAATAAACTCGTGTGAGAGAAATCATGCGTGCAAACATTGGGTATTATAATTAACGCAAATATGCGATCTCTTTCTCTCTTCAATCTTAGTGGTGCATTGTTTTTATTTGCTCAAACAATAGAGTACTCATCTGTCACAAAAATAGTAGTGATGTGTTCTTTGAATTTTCATAATGATCTACTGTTTCCTTTTCATGATTTTATTTGATGTTGAATCAATGGAGACCGTGAAGGAGACTGACTTTTTTTTCCTGGGATGGGGAAGAATAATTACTTTAATACAAGTTAGACAGTTTCTGTGGCCTTTCCACCCCTTCCTCTTCATCTTTTCTGATGGCACTCCCTCTAATTTTATACTCAAATAATGAGTGCCAAAAGGGCTGGCACCAATATGGCACTCCTGAAAGCTGTAGAGAGAACGTGTAAGGGAAATTCGAAGTTTATCTGAAATATAAAAAGCTTAGAGAGAGAAAATGAATATATTTATGTACAAAAGATGTTTAGCTTACATTCTCTAAGATAAAAGAATCACTATTCAAATTTTACCCTTCATATAACAATAGTGGGGGAGAACTACCATCTTTTTTCAACTGTAAGAAGCTATTGATTATTAGACACATACTCATTTTAGTTCCACCACCAACAGCAAAAGCACATAAGATGGCCCAGCTTATTTGTCTGAACGCATCTCCCTCTATGTCCCGCTTCGCAGATTAATATCATCCGGGGAGGCCCTGCTCTTGCTCCTGCTAGCGTCACAAATACGTCTGGCGGGGAAGAGAGACAGGGCCTTCTCGGCTGTGGCCCCCCGCCTGTGGAGCTAGCTCCCCAATGAGGTTAGATCAACTCCGTCCCTCTTGCCATTTAGGTTGAAATTCGTAGTTTTGGGATCAAGCTTTTGGACAACAGAAATAGATAGCGCTTTGGACATGGAATTGGATATGGAATTGACTGGAATGATGTTACTGCTATTAATACTGTTTTTTACTGTTTTAATGAATGATTTACTTATTGTTTTAATTGTTTTTATATTGCTGTGTTATATGTAGTGGCATTGAATTGCTGCCAAATGTAAGCTGCCCTGAGTCCCCCTTGAGAAGGAATGGGATAGAAATACCGGAAATAATAAATAAATAAATAAATAAATAAATAAATAAGATATGCTTGAGATTCTAAGATGCACCCCAATTTTAGACATGTTTTTATAGTGAAAAAGTGCATCTTAGAATGAAAGAAATACAGTATATAGTACATCAAAATAACAATAAAATGAATACAAATAGTTAAATGATTTCTGCGTCAAACTAAATAAGCATCATCATAATGTTTCTTTAAGAAAAGACATTCCCATAAGAAAGGCAGTTCTAAAAACATAAAGCATTCTTTTTATGGTGGCACACTAATTTTATTTGGAGCAGAATTCTGGAAGCCTGGATCCACTATTCATAGGCATTATTATATTTACCCACCACAATAATTGATCATATTGGTGGACCCATAGACAGCAATGATCTCACAGCACAGGCAGGTTAATAAAGAGGAATGTGGTCCTTTCAATTACCTGTTCTCACCTGAAGAAACCACAGTTGTCTCCAGTAGGTGCAAACAACAGTGATTTAATGTGCCCTTATCACTTTATACCACTTTATAGTATAAACAGTGTGAATCTATATAAACCAATTTTTAAATTGCACATCTCTCTTTTTTAGATTCTTATATAGTTTCAACAAATGACAAAGGAGATGCCTGCATAGAGCTATCAACCCAGTTCAGATAATCATATCAATCAGGGATGGTGCACCTCTGTCTCTGTTTTTATAGCCCTCCTAATTTCAGAGCCTGAAAGGGTTGCCTACAATAGGCCATTTTTGTCAGCAGCAGGTTATATCATGTTGTATGGGCCTTATGGTGAATAAAGGTGGGTCCCATGAAGTATACTGCTGCAGCCCCCAATCACCTGGATCTAAACTGTAGTGTAGTGAATGAGAGCTCCACCTCAATCCTATTTTTTATATAAGAATAAACGAGAGTCTCTTCAGAACAAGGTATGGTTCAGTATTGCATCTGAATTCAACAGGAATAAAGGAAGAGATACATTGCCAAATGCTCAGTAGATTATTATTTTTAAAAATGTTGGGAAAAGGCCAACACATTTCAGCCAATGTCTATATTTCAGTAGCCCCCTTTATAAAAACAAATACAAACATAAACATAAAAATAAAAAGCTAAATTCATAATTATATAATATTTACTTAAAATATGTATTATAATACATTTTATTTTTTTGTAGACTGCTTCGTATACACACCAGTATGCAATCTAATAGCGGAAAATGTCTGGAGTCCCA